GGCCTTCCCACGCCTTTTGGCCATCAAGGTTGTTTGACCATACTTCACCACGCTAGCCAGTGCAGCTGGCTGAATGGGGAGCCCAGGACCACTTCATAACGTACTCACCATGGCGATCACTGCTCTACCACTCCGCCACCCCTTTTTTCAAAGCCTCACCTCTTCTCCATTGACAATTCCCTTCTCTCTTCCCTCCCCTTGCCCCTCCACTCCTTCCCTGCCCTTTCGTGACCCCCTAAGTGCCCTCTGTTAGCGGTCACTCATTCCCCGGCCGTCGCACTGCCCCTGCCATCTAAATCCCACAATTTTGTTTGCGATTTTAAAACTATGCTAAAACGCCTTGAGCTAAGGCACTCTACGAATATAAAATAAGGTTTCTAAAATTGTAAAGTTGGCAAACGTACAGCCCTCCAATTTCTTGCTCATGACACTGCTTGTTAAAGGGTCTCCATCAGAGGGAGCTCTACAAGGCCCCTCTGGAGGGTATTTCGGTCTACTCTTCTACGGTGGCCAGACACCTCGGAAGAACTGAGTTTACCCACATGCGACCTGCCGACCTCACTAACGGCGGTGCATATATACTCCTGGGTGGAGAGATGACCCAAAATGCCATTGCCAGACATCTCAATGACATTAATTATTGTTTCCGCTGCCATGCTGGGAGATTGAACCAGCTAAACATTACACCACAGCAGGATGCCATTTGCATAGTATGGCTTTTCATAATCCAAATCGGATGCAGTAACAACATTCGATCACTGTCCAATCCCCCGGTAAACTTTCAAAGATCATTGAAAAGCACTACCTGGCAGTGAGCCCCGTTGAAAGGGCCTGTCACTAAAGGTAACATTCAAGATCGATTTGGGATGTGTGCATGGCTGACACTTTGCATGGACAGCTTGGTAGAGTTACGTATCAGAGCAGAACAAGCGATGTAAATATGTATTTATTAATAACTATACGAAATATAAATAACTAGCAATACCAGTGTATCTTTTATCAACAAAATTTTCAAACGTGGAATTTAGGTTAGGTCTACTTCCCACGAGGTCATCTGTCCAAGTAAATTTTGGACTCATTTCCACCTTTTCGGTCTCATTAGCAGGGTGTAGCCCATTAGAAACAAACGCTGCTGATTGTGTGGTATCAGAGCCGTCCATGAATACTGTGAGCTAGCTCGGTGCAGAACAGCACATCTGGTCTTATGTCATATTTATAGAGCGCCTTAGCTCAATGCGCATTACACAGTTAAAAAATCGGTTACAAAACAGAGCGATTTAGATGGTAGGGGCGTGCAAGGGCCGAGGAATGAGCGACCATAAGAGAGGGCACAATGGGGGTCATGAAATAGCTATAGGGGAGTGATGAGGAGGGGCGAGGGGAGGTAAGAGGAAGGGGATGGGCAGTCGAGAAGAGGTGACGCTTTGAGAAAGGAATGAAAGGAGGTTAAAGAGGCAGACTGCTTCATGTACAGGGGAAGCTGATTCCAGTGGAGGGGTGCAAGGAGTGAGAAGGATCGAAAGAGGGAACGGGCACAGGGAGGAGGAGGGACAGAGAGAAAGAAGATTGGGAACAATGAGGACAGGAGGAGGTGAGAGAGGCAAGATGAGGCGGGGCAAGGACATGGAGAGATTTAAAGACGATTGAAAAAAATTATACAAACTTAGTATGTATGCATTATCTAGGCATATTGCCAGTAATAAAGCAATGGATAATGACACCAGGATCTGTTTATTCTATTACAAACTAGCTGTACTGCCCGGCTTCGCCCGGGACTTGGATCCACCACGCGCGGCCGCCTTTGTCTCCCCAGTGGCGATGTTCACACACCACAGCAGCTACTCTTTTGAGGCTGAGTCGACCTAGGGGAGGCCCAGGCGCGGTTGAAATAATCGTCACCGGTGGTGGCCGTGAGCGGGAATCGAACTCGGGTTCGTAGCGCGGCGTAGCGCTAACCACTACACTACAACGCGTTACACTTCCACATGCACGGGTCACGTGACAGATTTGACGTCACAGCTCACTTGCCGTGCAAATAATAAAAGCATTATTGAGCCCCCCCCCCCAAAAAAAAACCAGTGTTTTTATAATTTTTGCATGGTGTACAGTCTGGAAAGTACCCACATGGCAAATTCCAAGTTTGTTGCATGTCGGGAAGTACGCTAAACATTTTGAACAGACACACATATTCACAACTTTGCCTCATATATATGTATAGAGATGAACATTTGATATATCGGACAAAAGGCCTTACTTTTCTGGAAATACAGTATCAATTCTGCAAAATGGGGTTATCGATACGAACATCAACATTGGCTTCTCACCAGGTTTTGCAACCTCAGAAGGTAGTGCCTATTTTACTGACCTCAAAGGGATGATGGGCTAAGTTAAATCAGGCTGGGACAAAAATTCATACTACCATAATTTGGAGCCAGTTTGCCCTGCCAACTAAACTATATTTAGCACAGTTGCTCTTATAACCACCCTCCATCTGTCATGATCATGCACTGCGAGATTATGTAATCGGGCATGTATTAAAGGTGTTTAGCTGAATCTTTACACATTGTCGATGACTGTATGAATTATGCTCAGTGATTTATTAAATGTTTTGTTGTTACACATTCTGGATGTCTGGATAAAGTCAAAACTAGCATTTGAAGTAAATTATCAATCCACATGTCGCTCGTTCAATCACTCTATGCAGCAGTTGAGGCGATGAGACACGTTTCTTGAATATCCCATGCGACTCTGCACATAGCACCATTGATTGGTGAACCAAAGGCAATCTGCAGGTTGAATGTGGTGGGGTAACGTGGGAACTCCCACCTCTTACGAAATTCATGGCTTGCGTGGAATAGTAGAGCTCCCTCACGTGCATGCCCTTCCACCACCAGTGGTGTGTGTAAGACATTGCAGGCTGTATCTTTACCTTCATATCGTTAGAAAGTCAAAAGCATTATTCATAAGAGACCTTGGTTTATATGACTTACCAAATGTGTAATGACGACTTGACACACTTTCTTGAGATGGTTTATTTTATCAAGGAGCCACGTGCTCGCACTTGAACAGGCTGATACCCCACTGCAATGGCCCCGAGTCTCCCGCGCATCTCCCTTATATACGGTCTGAGGCCACGCCCCCATTCCCGAACCTTCTCGCTGGTTCAAGACCGCTTGCTCTACCAGCAGACTCCACTGTCCTCTTCCTTCACCTGGCCACGCTCATATTCTCGATCATTCCCGCAGCTACCAGTCCCTTCGCACTGCAGTCTGACTCCCCTGTCATTACCTCCCGTGGCCACTAGTCCATTCGTACTGCAAGCTAACTCCCCTGTCATTACCTCCCGTGGCCACTAGTCCACTCACACCGGAGGTTGACTTTACTGCCATTACATATGCAACCAAATAGAAATAAAACATCTCAATGTAAGTAAGCGCCTAAACGGAGCCATTAAAAATTGTGATTTGGAATCAATTAGTAGATCAGTAAAAAAATGGTGAGACATATTTCATATACCCTGGGACAACCTTCAAAAATACATTTCGCAACCGAGAGCAAAATCAAACATTCAATGTCATGCTGCAGAGGTTCATGTCTTGATGATCATACAGAAAGCATTGAAAAAATAAGAGTGCGAGAATGCAACTACGATAGAGTAATTACGACAGGTATGTACACTGTATGGAAGATTCCGTGAATAGAAACAAGGCATTCAAAGACAGCAAACGGTTTCTTTTCCCAAATGTGATTTGTGCCTTAGTAAGTTTCCTCTGTGATATTTGTGTCACGAAAACGGTACAAAATTGTCTACTTCTGTGAACCGCGTAACAGTACGAGTCCACAGCAGGAAGCACAATGTGTACCATGTTGATGAAGTGTGACAACTGCCTCCATATAAACGGTCTCCCTGGCAAGCACGATAACTACCATTATGTTATCCTGCTGTGGAAAAAGAAAAAAAATTGAAAATATAACCAAAACGCCAGTTTATATTAATGTGCATGGGGAAAAAGCCTGTAAGGTTTCTGTTACACGAGTTTGATTATATCATGTGAGATTGTGTTGTGATGGAAAATATAAAACATGAAGGTGCAGCTCCGCAATAGTTTGTTTGTTTGTGCCACTGTTGGCAGAAGGGCCGCCACAGGGGGAGCTCCTCGGCATCAACTTTGAAGGGTGTTTTGGCCTCCTCTTCCACGCTGGCCAGCCAACTTGGAAGAGGTGGGAGTACCCGTAATTGATTTCATCACACGTGATCTGCTGATTGACTAACTGTGGTGGTCCCGTCCGTAAACTAAACTATACGATTAATCTAAACTTATTTTATTTTACCAAGTAAGGCTCTTTTTCAGAAGTGACCTGGCCACAAATGATAGCTCAATGAAGTGGGTTATGACGTGGAAATGCATTGCAGCCAGAAACTCTAAACGCATGTTATCCACGCGACCACGGGGAGAACATGCAAACTCCAAATACATAAATCAGGGTCGGGATCGAACCCACAACGTCCTGCATATCAGGCGAGGGAGATAACATCTCGCCACTGTGGCACCCAGGGCTGTAGGGTGCACTGCAGGGTGGACAGAGGCGGGGAGGGGGGAGGGGGGATTTAAGAAACTTGCCCAATTGTTTCAACTACCTGGCAAGAGATCCAATGGTGTGATAACCATCACACTACGGCAGCCTCACATGTCTTGATGACCTCACGAAAAAATATTCAACAGTCGGTGATTGAACTTGATTAGCAGGAAGACCACGTGGTCACGTGAACCATGGATTATGATGTCTCATAGAAATGTAATTATTCACCTCCTTGGTGATTCGATGAATTCTCAACAATTCTATTCAAGCATCGATTTGTATATATATTTTTAATTGCAATGAATGAAGCCTCGAATGTATGTATGGTTAACTCATTTAGCACTGCAGGAAGCCAACTGTGCTTATCGGAGGTGCAAGATTGTCCGTTCACAAGGCCAGCTGGGTGTCATCGACCTCACCTTGATGGCCTTAGCGGCCTGTGCTGCCGCATTGGCCGTGGCCTCCTCGGACTCCACGACCGCCTTGGCAGCTTCCACCTCTAGGGTCTCATCGGCAATGATGTTGACCAGCTCCTCCGTCTCCTTGCTCCTCTCAATCAGCTGCGGTTCCAGCTCTGTGAGCTCCTGCTTCATCAGTGCGATCTGCAAATGCCCAGAGTCAACACGTTATGATCGAGTTAATACTAAAAAGTCTATGAAAAAAATGTATGACTGGTCCAGGCCTGCAATGAGATGGAGGCCACCGAGAAGAATATAAAACATTTTACTTGTCATAGTGCATTGGCAGTGTTGCACAAGAGCAGATGAGATTGGCCATTCTTCTTTGGCATGAAGTAGGCCCATTGCCCAAAATGTTACTGATTACGAATATATAGTTTTCCTTTTGTGGCAGTGTTATTGACGAAGGTGTTGTGGTTTTCAAGAGAACATTAGGTTGGATTAATTGGTTGGTACTCCATCAGTGCTTGTCTTACAATCAGAACGTGATGACTTCAAATTCCCCATAAGAGAATGATTGAGCCCATCATCAAGCGAGGGATGATGAATAAAAAAGAGTCCCTCTTTATGGAAAGTCAATGGCTGTTGTCCTCTGGGTAGACTGGTCACTGCCATAATAATGTGGAATTGCCTTCACTTGCTCAGGACCACCAATAGAAATGAGCGATATCTAATGCTTGTTTGAGCAGAGATATTTTTGGGGTTTAGAGATCAGAAGATACCAAAGCAGAACGGAAGTGGTATGTATGATGTTGTGGTTGACGTTGCAATATTCAACAATAAACAAGGTTATGCTTATGCACTAGAACATTAATGGTCCCGGGTTGCTATTCAATAAATAAAATGGACATTTATCCCAGTTACTCTGCATAAATCTCACTGCAGATCACTAAGACCTCTCTGCTGTCAAGAATGAATTCCACAAAGTTAATTTATAATGTAAATTATCTTCCCTTGGGTTGTATATTATGATGAAATATGCGTGCTATTCAGTAGGTATATTTAGCGCATTTTGCAAGCAACTGCCAACAATGTGACTGACGAATGAAAAAGTATTGAAATGAGATATTGTTTAAAAACTACGACAATGAAAAAAATAGCTTTCAGGCATGCAATGATGACCCGCCCCTCAGTGATATGATGAACTGCCACAATTTGACGTTGCTATTCAATTCAAGGATTGATCAATTTTTTTTGTTCTTTGTGGTTAATGTAACACCTCGAGTGACTGCGGGGGGCAGTTTCGTTAACCCACTACAATACAAACAACGTATCATCGTGAGCCATTGTCTATGCACTGCTGGATTGAGAGCCTCACTCCGCCATCGGCATTCCCCACATTCCAGCGCTGCGACGATCCAATAAACTTCACCTCCATGGTGTTCCTCCTCTTTGAAATGTTTTCGAAAAGATATGTTTATATATATTTTTTTACCAGATAAGAACCACCGAAATATACAGCTCTTTTTCGGAAGTGACCTGGACACAAAATATCGCTCAACAAAGTGGCTTATTATGTGGACATTTATAGCAGCCAGATACTCTAAACGCATCCTTCTAAATGTGGAGGGAAAACGCAGAGGACCTGGAGTAAAACTCCACGTGACCACGGAGAGAACGTGCAAACTTCAAACATACACGCATCAGGGTCGGGATCGGGATCGAACTCACAACCTCCTGCAAACCAGGCGGGGGATTTAACATCTCGCAACCGTAGCACCCAACATTCTTTTTTCTGTCATTATGTCTTCATGTCCGTCGCTCGGGTATCATTCCGTGATCGTGATGATTTCCATTGATTCCCTCATGTATGTGCTTCTTCTATCTGAGTGTCATTCCAAGCATTCATCTCTCCGTGATTCTTTATGCACTTTTCATCCTCCAATAAACGTATACCGATAAAAACTTAACACATTTCCACACGCACGTCGTTAAAATGCATGTATCACGCACGTATGTATGTATGTATGTTGAACTTCTTTCGTACCGCACACAGACAACAACACTTATCGGAGGTGCGGGTAAGAAGAGATGCAATGCAATGAATAGATGGATCATCACATGCCAGGAGCTATATAATTTAGTGGTTTGAACTCCTTATTTAAGTAGAACACTGAAATATGTAAAATGTGTCGTCACACACTGCAAGTCGATATGTATTTGACCCGAAAACGGTCTAAATATTCAGCTCTTGGGGATTGGTGATATAGTGGGTTGGGTGCCTCGTTCGATTCCGGGCCACAGCTGATATCAGTGGCGAGCGATATCGAAACCCGTCCTTCCCTCCCCCATTTCACCGACCCGCATTGGCCAGCATGGTGAAGTATGGTCCGAAACCTCTGTGACTGACATCGTGTGGAGTGGCCTCCAACCATGTGTGGAGTGAGACTTGCTGGAATTTGCAAGTCGCTTTAGTTGCATATTTGTTTTCATACGTAATTTAAAATGTAGTTTAACGGTGATTAAGACAACTATATCATCCACTCGAACTATATTTTACCCAAATAGAATTTTCACAACTAACTGCTGCAGCTATATTTAACAGTTGCTCTGCCCCTGCCGTTGCACGAAGTATATTGTTCCACTCGTTAAGTAATTCATAACATTTAATTTATACGTCAACAGGTAAGTCCATCATGCAGGTTTGTTTATTGTGTGCTGTTTTTTTTATGTTGCAATTTTAATTTTGCATAAATTCTGCACCCCCATGACCAGCTCAGTGTTTTCCTCTTCAATGCATCTGTCTCAATGGTTATAAATAAGTAAGATGGCTGCGATGATCTTGCAACTCTTTGATGGTGGCAAGATCTCTCTTGAGACTTAAAACCACGTTCAGGGAAGGTTAATTGTGCTTCGGTATATGTGAGAGCGGTTGGATTGTTTACACCAAGTTTAATGGTAATTGGCAAAGTCATCAGTGAAAATAAGTTCACCAATCAATAGCTAGAAGCAAGGCATTGATTCCTACTTCAGTGTTATTAACCCTGAAAGGATTATTCAGTTGCAGGCTCTATAAAAGCATGGCGAACACACAGCGGCAGGCCAGTAGAAATAATACTGTCCTGAAAATTTCGTGAATATATTTCATTTTATAACTTAAGAAATTGTATACTTTAAACATTTACAAAACACAAAAGGCTAATTTTGGCATTGTAAGTATTCTATTGGTAATTCAAAATAACACCATAAGAATGTATGTAATTGTTACTTGTCATCCATAGTATATTAGGTGCCATAAACTATTTACCTGTGGCACACCACGGGAAGGGGGGGGGGCACGGCTCAAGATGAGCAGCAGGAAGAAATAAGGAGGACCGTCGGACAGAAAGGGGAAGAGAGAGAGAGAGAAGGAATGGCCGGGCCAATATGTCGGGGACGAGAGGGTGGTGAGGATGAGAGGGGAGGGGAGAGGCGGAGAGAGAGAAGGAAGGAGCGAGCAGGAGTGAGCTGAACGCGGCTGTCAGGGAGAGGGAAGGGGCTCAGTGAGGGTGGCCGCACAGAGGCCACGTGACTTGTGGAAGGCTTGAGCTGATGTAGATATAGACATGAGAGGGGAGGGATTTGGAGTGGGGATGGAGACACATAAGTCACGTTATTTTCCAGATCCTTCAGCTGATTTAGACATGTAGATCAATCCAGTACTGGCGCTTTCTATAGAAATGTATTATTTAAACCCCTGGCTCAGGGCTTCCAACAGAGACGAGTACCACCCAGACCTCATTTGAGTATTTGGCGCATTGAGTGATAGTGTGTTAGTGTTGAAACTAAGGCTGTGGATCGAGTGCAAATACTGTAGGTTAGTGGTGATGTTGAGGGTCAGTGAATGTTGAAGCTGAGGGTGAGTTTTGAGTCTGAGTGACTTTTGAGGCTATGGGTTAGTGTCGAGCTTGTGAATAAGTGTTGAGGCTGTAGAACAGGGGCAAGCTGCCGTTGGGCCCTCCCCGAGGCTGAAGAACCATGGTCCGAAACATCTGTGGACTGGACATCCGTGAAAGAGAGTTTCGCAGCTCATCGGATCTCTCCAGGATGAATAAAGACTCTGATAACTAAAATATTCTGATTCTGAGACAGCACTGAGGCTCGGATTACTATTGACAGCGTGGATAGTGCTGACGTCGTCATTAGTGTTCAGGCTGCACGGGTAACTCATTGTGCAGCTGCCAAGTGCAGCAATAGGGTGCAACGAGAGAGGGGGAGCATGGTATTTCCTATTGCCAGTGATAACACCATAGTAATGCAACGCATGCAAGGCAATTGTAAACCAGTAATGATGCTGGAAGGCATTATGGCATGCTCATAAAAGTCATCTTTTAAATCCAGTCACTTCATTTGCTCATTAACGCAACATTAAACTTATGTCGGACAGCCTCGGGCACAGAGCTGAGGAAGGTGGGCAGGAAATAAGAGCAGTTTGCTTTCTTAATTGCTTATTTATGTCAACAAATAAAAACTGCTCCCCACCTGCCAAACTCGTCTCCCCTCCACCCGCCACTGCCAAAATCCAAAGCGTGCAGTGAACCCCATGACCAGTGTAGCCACTAACATTACAAAGATACACGTTTTACGATGTTTACTGTGTTAAAGAAGAATGGTAGAGTTTATGTTTTGAAATCTCAGCAAGTAAATTTTTGTTTGTACCACCTCAACTGGGCACTGACGCTCTTCCTTCCGACATGATGGAAGCCACTGGAGCTATGTACTTTTAAATCATCCAAATTGAAAACTCATTTCTTTAGAAACGCTTTTTGTGTTTCGTTTGTTGTCCTTGCACCGCACCTCCGATTAGGACGGTTGGCTACGTACGGTGCAAAAGAAGTTCAACGTACACACATACCTACAGGTAACACGTGGTGGGGGTAAAGAATGGCTATTCCCACCTCTCATCCAATGCGTCTGGCCAACGTGAAAGAGTAGGCCAAATGCCCTCTCGAGCAGCTCTCGCAGAGGCCCATCAATCAACAGTGGCACGAGAAAGCAATTGCAAGGCTGCACCTCTACCTGTTATCTCCGCTGTTTTACAAAATTTCACCATCAACAGTCAGCATCTCCGATTCGCACGGCTGGCTACGTACGGTGCGAAGAAGTTCAACACGCATACGTACACCGTGAACAGAATTTTAGTACACAGGAGTACGACACCCAGGACATGGAGCAAAAAGTGCCGAAGGGGGGTGGGCGTTGGATGGAGCTCTGACCTGAGTGGCAGCAAAGTCGAGTTTCTCCAGCCCCACCACGTAGCGATTCTTCTGGGTGAGCAGCTCCAGCCGCTTGCGCTCCAGGAGGCTCTTGAAGGTCTTGATGAGCTCCAGGTAGGAGGTCGGGGTGACATACGTCCTGCGCTGGAGGCTCTCGTAAAATCTGCATTCGGCAAAAAAGTAACCTCGAGTCACCTTTATTATCGACGTCACAAAGTTTCCTGGTTCCGAAATAGGGTTCTGTTTTGGGAAATTACTGTACGTATCATACACTAACGATGCCGTGATACAAATTCTTACATTGGTATAATAATGACGCATCAGGCCTACCATAACATTTTCAATAATTATGTTATTACATAATGAACCATACCTCCCCATACTCTTCCATCCCTATCCCCCACGCTTGCTATAATCCTCTTCCCCTCTGGCTATAAGTGTCTCATTAAAAAATGTACAGAGTTTACACGCGCATCCTTTTCACCGTGATGCATATGTTTCACTGTTGTGTACAGCGTCTTGAAATATGGTTGAATTTAGAAGATATATACATCCAAATTGTTTGGCATTGTATCATTGGTCAATCAAAGCCTATCATCACCTCTGCGGTTGATCAAATTAGTGCCGCTTTGTGGGTAGACGTCAGCCATTGTCACGTGCAAGCCTGATCCGTTCATTGTAATAGGAAATTTATACCACTGGCCCAGGCTTTCTGGTGGATATTAGCACTGTCCCACACTGGTTCGAGTTTGCAGACACTGAATTGTTGGACTGTTAGAAAGTACACAGTGGTTTGCACTCAATGATAATATCTGCACTCAAAGATAATATCCACAGCATCCTCTTCTGTACACGGTCTTTAGAGTCATCTTTAGAGCAGGCAATCTGCAAAGAAATGTATTAAGTTAATGCTGGAATCAGACTTTAAACGCCGAGCAAAAGGTTTTTTTTGGGGAATGCAATGACCACTCGGAATCCCATCTGAGGTTCATTAGCAGTGCGGCTAGCAAACACAGCGTGCGCATTTGTCAATCACCTCCTTCAGATTTGTTTTTGTTAAATTTGCGGTACCTGGTAAAATTAGCGGTGCGCTTTTTTGCTTGGAGTGGCTTCTTCCATGGGGAAAAAAAATAAATCTGTCGTAATTTTGCGCAGTGCAAGAGGAAAGCGCGGGGAGTAAATAGTCTCACCTCTTTGACAGGGCACGCACGCTTTGGTGAAAGTGCTTGCACATGACCACGGCCTCATCCCGCACCTCCTGGGACATCTCCACATCGTCGAGAAAATGATTGGCCACCTTCTCAAGAGCATCTTCTGGCCAAGCCTGCGTGAGCAATGAGCAGAGGAGAGCGCGGCGTTGAGCTGCACGCGAGCACCGCCAGACATTCGATGGTCACATTTGTTCACTGTTGTTATGCGAAGATTGAATAATGTTAATAAAGCAGATGCTGAGTGGCGTTAATTGCTTTGGATGGCACTGCTTTGACAGATAAATATTTAAATGCCGTTTCAACAATTTGGTGTTTATTTGTCAAATTGTTTACCATATCAACGGTTACATTTATTCAATAAAATGTGTAACTAATGCAAACAAATTATGATAAAAATGTAACACGTAAATATATGTAGACCTCCACGATTGTATGCATATGCTGATATAGACTTGTAAATTACATGATTTTAATTGGAAAACTTTAATTGGAAAGTCCTCACAGAACCTAATTTTACAACTTTTAATTAAGGAGTACAACTTTCACATAACTAGTATGTGTGTGTGCGATGTTCAGTTTCATTTATTTAAGTTTCATTTATTTGGTAAAGCCCTGTGAGCCATTTGGCTCTTGAATCGGGTGCAACTGCAACAAACAAAAAACAAAAACATGAACAAGAAAACATATTTAAGTGACTATGTGACTGTGCAAACAGAAAATCCAGCAAAAAACAGCAAAATATTCCTGAAAAAAGCACCGTACACCAACGCTGTGTGCAAAAAATTCCCAGTGGGATGCAAGCCAAACAACAACAACCACAAGACAACTTAGATTAAGGCCATCAGTCTAACTCCGTCTCTACAACAAAACAAACACGGCCAAACCAAAAAAACTTTTCGAAATCACCAAAAGAAAGCCATAAATGCAATGTAAAATGCAATGTAACAGTGATCATAGGGACTGTGACTGTATTTTTAACAAGAAACTACATAAATAACATGTAACACCAAACCCTAGAGCCATAGCTGGCTGCATGAGTCACTCCACAACAGGAGCATCAGTCGGGAGTATCACATTTCTCAATGCACCTTTAAGATCAGCACACTAAATCAAAATACAGGTAATACTTTGCAGTGGTCATTCGGAGTGAAACATTTTATTTTAGGCCACTGAATAGCAGTGGCAGCTAGGGGTGTACAACTCCTCTAGAGCAGTTTTGAGTGTAGATCTCATAGGTAGTGATTCAAGTTGTAGATTTAAAGCTTTCGTGACTGCAAGGATCCATACTCTTTGGTTCTATTCGGTAAAGTCACGTAGGTAAAAAATAAAACAACAAAAATCACGACGTTTCGGCCACAACACAAGCGGCTTTCATCAGGTGAAGGGATCAGGCTGTCTCGAGGACAGCGCTGGAGTGAAACACAACCACGCTCAGACTGCAGACCTTTAAGTTGTGTGCGAACAAACAAGGTGTCCTGACAAAGGAATTAGCATAAAAATTAGCATTTGATTGGCCGATTTTAGAAAAGAGGTGGTATACGTGCCGGTGGACTTGCCGTTTGGCACGGGGGGGGGGGGGGGGGTTACCTAATGATGGTGTGAAAAGGGAATTTATAAGAGCTGCGAAAGTTTGGGGTACCACTACTTGAAAAATATACTGTACCATTGAAATTAGTTTAATGTTTAGTTCGATTTAGAACATCTTTCCAATGGTTGCTTAATTTGAAACCATCTTCTCGGTTGAAATTGTGTCTGTGTTTGTAGATCTGAATTGCCTCGTGAACAAATCTCTGATAAAAACCCGTGGGTTTGCAAAGAACCTTGGTATCGGAGAAAATTATATCGTGATCACCCACAGCGTTGTAACAGTGATCAGCCACGGCAGAAGAATTCGTTTTTCCGTGTTTCAAATCTGATTTGTGCTCGCGAATTCGGTCAGAGACATGTCGCTTTGTCTCCCCGATATAGCAATCACCGCAGGTACAACGAGGCAATTCAGATCTACAAACACAGACACAATTTCAACCGAGAAGATGCTTTCAAATTAAGCAACCATTGGAAAGATGTTCTAAATCGAACTAAACATTAAACTAATTTCAATGGTACAGTATATTTTTCCAGTAGTGGTACCCCAAACTTTCGCAGCTCTTATAAATTCCCTTTTCACAGCATCAATAGGTAAACTCCCCCCCCCCCACCCCGCGCCAAACGGCAAGTCCACGGGCACGTACACCACCTCTTTTCTAAAATCGGCCAATCAAATGCTACTTTTTATGCTAATTCCTTTGTCAGGACACCTTGTTTGCTCGCACACAGCTTAAAGGTCCGCGGTCTGAGCGTGGTTGTGTTTCACTCCAGTGCTGTCCTCGAGACAGCCTGATCCCTTCACCTGATGAAGGCCGCTTGTGTTGTGGCCAAAACGTCGTGATTTTTGTTGTTTTATTTTTTACCTACGTGACTTTACCGAATCGAACCAAAGAGTATTCAAGTTATAGTTTATTGGCAATAGCATTCCAGACCCTGGGGGCATCAATAGCAAAGGCCCTTCCTCCAGTATTTGTACGGCAATAGGGAATGTGAAGCTGGTAAATGAGCGAAGACCTGAAGTCAAATTTGTTCTTTGAAACAGAGAGGAGATCCAGCAGGCAGTCTGCGGATTTTTTTGTTAGTACATCGTGAATAAATACTTGTGATAATGTAATACATAGATAATTAACGGTGCAGTCATTATTAATACTAATGCTGATTACAGTATCATACTATATGAGAAAAAAAAATTCTGGCTCGATGACCTAAATGGATTCCTGTCTGTCTGGGTGCCGCGGTCCCAATTGCGTGTGCGTGGTGGTCACGTCACCGCGCACATCTACACCGTGACATTGAGCCAGGTTCGTGTGTCAGGCAAACGCCACGATTAGGGAGAGGCAAGAGAGATTGAGACGGGAAAGTGAGAGGTGGGAATAAGGAGAGCGAGAGAGATAGGGGGGAGGGAAGAGGTTGAGATAGAGTGGAGGAGAGAGGACAGAGGAATTGAGACACCGATAGGAACAAAGACAAAGCGAGAAATCGAGACAAATTTTTACATACAGTACAAATTTTGATTTAAAGCTTTCGTGACTGCAGGGATTCATATTCTTGGTTCTTTCGGTAAAGTCACGTAGAAGGGAAACAATAAAATAATAAAAATATAAAACAATACGAAAAATTCTTACGACGTTTCGACTGCAACACAAGCAATCATCATCAGGTGTGAAAACCACAACAAAAACATTTGAAAAAGTGGCGGTTTTTTAACGTTAGTACCACGGAGAGCGATTTGACAGTTTGTTCAGATGGACGAGTCCATCTATGTTCGGAAAAGAGGAGGGGGGAGACGAAAAATAATGGATGCGGCCACATTAAGCGTGATCAATTAATTAAGACCCGAAATGGTTTATCAAATCCTTCCAATGATTGCTAAGCCAGAATCCATCTTCTCGGTTGAAATTGTCTCTGTGTTTGTATATGTATATGTGGATAGCCTCATGAACGAATCTCTCATGGTAGCCAGATGTATATATATACAGTAAAAAGCGAAGGGTAAGGTGGAGAGATACAGAGCTCTATATAAGAATAAAGGTGTTAGTGGCTGGCTGGCAGAGAGGGCCGGTCACGTCCAAAGGACGTGCGGGTTGCTAGTTAAAATTTAAAATAACTATTGTTGTAATATTAGAGGAGTGCACTCTGCTATGAACCCAGTGACCTGAGTTCATTTCTCCGTAATGGCTAGCATCAGTGGTGAGTAATATCGGACATATGAGCCAGGGTATTACAATTCATTGTAATGTTTTTTTTTTTCCCTGTTAATAGTTAAAACCATGATCGTGGAATAAAAGCCAGCAATATATAAAAATATATAAATTGAGCATTATTTTTTATAACTGCCTGATTTTTCTAAAAATATGAACGAGTCAAAGGCAGCCAATTCTGTTGAAATTAATACGATTTGATTTTTTTAAAGTACTTTAAAAGTGTGATTGTAGAATTATGCGTAAATTTTAGTACTTTGTGCTCCAGCTGTTTCACTGTTTACCTTTCAATGCACGTAAACGTCACCAAAATTAAATATTTTGTTGTGTTTTTATCAAGGTGATATTCATATAATTCTAACATAGGAAGCATTCACATGCAACAGGATCCCGAGATTTATAAAGCATCCAAATATGACCATATCTTAAGATACTTTATTCACAATTCAATTTAATTTCCAAAGCATTTATAATTTATGAGTTTATCTTTCCAACAGCATCGTTGCATCGCAATGCTACATAAGTTTAGAGTAAACCAATTCCGAGTCTCTGATTAGCCTGAAGATACGTCCATAATAGTTTCTTCTAATGAAACGTCTGACTTCGAGATTTAATTCCTGCAACTGGAGAACAGGGCCCAAAATGTATATTATTGGACATGAATGTACTGTGTTGGGAGCAGCTGTGCAGCGTTTAGTGCAACATGTTCTCAGTAAACAGATCCATGCATAAACCAATTAGACAACCTTTAAAAGATTACGGACACATTACTCAATTGGGATTACACATAGTAATCAACGTCCCTTACTGGCAGACGAATGGCAGTTTGCAGGGCAGGTGCTGAGTCACCTTGTGCCCACAGGGATGGCTGCTACTGGGGGTGCCCTTTCAAATGTAACGAGCTGACAAGTACTATTGAGATGTTCCGCCGTGAAAGGCACTCTATCAGAAACAAATTAATATCTTTATTATATTAAAAACTGATTTATAATCAAAAGAGAGGTTATTGTTATAGATTACAGATATGAACCAACTGAAGGTGTACCAGTTTTACATAGACATGCACATAATAAACAACAACAATACTTTACAGCCTTATGCCAATCTACAGCTGGGTAAAGGGCTCCCCACTCCTTGATGTCTTGGGGGTTGAGCCATATTGATTGCTGTTCAGCCCAGTGTCAACCCACTGCTGAATGAACGGCGCCTCACACCAGGAATCAAAACTCATGTCGCCAAATTCAGAGCGTAATGCGCAAACCTCTGTACCACCACTACTCCCCAGTCCCCTGACTGTTAGTACTGAGCCAGCTCTGAGCTTGGTCCGAACCACGTTCAGCATTCCAATGAGGCTGAGAGTGAAGCGAGCCCATGGCTGAGCTGCTCGCGCATCTTTGGAAGCGACCGAGCGGCTCACGGCTGAGTGGCGTTTAAGAGGCTGAGCCGCGACTCAGAATACGGCCCTCTGAGTAACGCACGGTGTTAGCGTGCTTGGTCCAGCCACGAAACTAAACTATGTTTTATTTCGCCAGGTAAGGCCCACTGAGCGAAATAGCTCTTTTTCGGAAGCGACCTGGCCACAAATGACAGCTCAGCCATGTGGAAATTTATAGCAGCCAAATATTCTAAACGCACGTTGATTTTAAACGTGGAGGGAAAAAGGAGAGGACCGGGAGAAAAATCCACGCGACCACGGGGAGAACATGCAAACTCCAAATAAACAGGCGTCCGGATCGGGATCGAACCCACGCACTCCTGCATACCAGGCGAGGAGGCAGTTAACAGCTCGCCACTGCGGCACCACTATCCATCCTATCGCACTGTAATTTTTAATCTCCCCACATTCGGTATAGTCCTTGTAACAAGTTACATCCAAATGCCACCTCTCCTTACCCAACTCATTTGTAACGGTGGAGCGAGCGGGTATCGGGCAACAATTTCAGGTGTCACGTCTCGCTGCCGACCTAACCACATCCTGGACCCGACAACCAGCATCGTCTAATTTTGCGAGTCAATCAATTAACAACTGTGCACAAATTGCTTTACCGCCATCTAATTTGCATGTGAATTGGTAGATTGGTATAAATGGACAACTTAGACCATATGAGGATAAGGGGGCCTGGAGTTTTGTAGCTGGAGATATAGACAGAATCCAATTAATTTCATTTGGACTGTTAAATAGCATGGCAGCAGTCAAAATTAAAGCTTTAAATGGTTTATAAATTAATCCTGGCTGCAGAATCAGCTGTAAGCACCCTTAAAATTCCAGGGGGGGGGGGGGGTCTGACTTAATTATTTTAAATGAAACTGCAATATCAAAATAGGCCATGTATCCAACTGTTTCGCCAGGTGTGACCAGTTAATGTAATTGACAAGAGCCGTGCTTTATTTTGTCTCTAAATTGATTGTTTAAAAAAAAACTAATTGCAAAGAAATATGTAGATATATATCACATCATGCAATTAAGTGAATTCCGCACACCTGGTCTTTCGTGAATATCCGCATAATGGGCAATTCTATGGCAGTGTGGGTGCATTCATAGATTTATTGGGGAAATTAATAACGAACATAAATTAAGAAAAACATTAAACATCCCAGATTTTTAATGTAAATATTCATTGAAACAATCTAAGGGAAAAAAAATGTATTACGGCGATATAACTTGAGAAAGAGGGCTGCACATTTGGGCCCACGATGCGCGTAAAACAGTCAAATAACAGCAAGTCCACAAGTAGAATAAAGATTTGTCGCAAAGCACATCAATTATTGAAGGCTGATCGGAAGCAGAATGGTCAAATGAACAGGTGAATGACTGCCGGATTTAACAGAGAGATTTCAAACAGTGCATGGGGACATGCTATGACATCTCTTTGGTTCTTTAGGTTTTATACCTACCACGTGACTTTACCGAAAGAACCAAAGAGATGGATTCCCGCAGTCACGAAAGCTTCAAATCAAGAATGCTATGACATATGCACCAAAAACTGGGCCAACGATTAAGCAAATTCAATACTGGAAAGTATGCAAAGAAACATGGACAGATGCATGCTGGGAATTGCAATGAGAAATGAAAAGAGAAACACGTATATTAGAAAATAAATATAAATTTGAAGTATCCACGATTAATAATGAGTATTTTTTTTGTTATGGCTCCTCAATGCCCAAGGCATGGAGTTCCCCAACATTCGTGCAATCGACCAACCCTTCACAGTGCTGGATTACCGGCTATGTTCATAGGCACCACCAACCGGCTTGAAGGCATTTCTTCATAAAACTTGCCACACTTAAGAACCTTGTTAAATTGTGGGAGCAAGGCCTACAGTTTACACTTAGCTTCAAATGAACAGCAATCACTCGGGCTGGATATGAAACAAAACATGAATTTCTAAAAACAATTACAGTGATGGCAATGATAATAAATATTATGGAAGTGCTATGCCCACCATAATAGATGCTTGCAAACAGCACTCACCCACACAGTCTATGTTTAAAATCAAAACAGGTCATCAATATTTAACGTGGGCTGGCTAATATTGCAGCAATTGCTTTTTAAAACAAGGGCCTGGCATTTGTTCATGGGCCAACGAATAGAGATGTCTCTACGTGGGTGTTCACAGCTGCCCGCGACCCCCTGGGAAAATGGACAAAGCCACCCGAGTGTGCAGTAGCACCTGGACGTTTTCCTCAGGTCAGCAGCGCCGGGGAAAATATTGGAGCATTTCATCTCACATGGTACAATTGATTCTTGGGTACATACCAGATGCCTGATTTGTCATCACTAATTGAAGTGGGATAAGTTTTTTTTTAGACAAAAAAAATAATAATTTGGAAATGTTATTACATTGCCTGTCTTTATTTGACTATTAATAGTATCGCTGTGATGAAGAAGGGTCATTGCCTGAAACGTCATCAATAATATATTTATTTCCTTCCTATGGAAATGTTATTGACAAATGTGTTGTGTTTTGTTATTTGTACTTGTGCAACAGTGCCAACCCAGTATCACATATTTGTTATTTAGTTTTCTGCTACTAAATATTTCCCTGCTAAAGTGGTTCCATATGCCAAAATCGGACTAAATCCTGACAGGCAGGTGGAGACTGCCCAGAGCCTGATCAGGAGATGAGAAAACTGTTAAACTAAAAACCTATTTTTTTATTTTACCAGGTAAGGCCCACTGAGCTATCTAGCTTTTTTTATAAGCGACCTGGCCACAAATGATAGCCAAACGAAGTGACTTATCACGTGGAAAATTATAGCAGCCAAATACTCTAAACTCACATTTGCTAAATGTGGAGAGCAAAATCGGAGGACCTGGAGAAAAATCCACGCGACCACGGGGAGAAAGACAGAGAGAGAGAGAGAACTTGCAAACTCCAAATATACAGCAGGCGTCAGGGTAGGGATCGAACCCACGACCTCCTGTACAGCAGGTGAGGCAGCTAACATCTCGATAGTAAGCTGGCACCTGGAACCAGTCGATGGTGCAGCAGCTGATGAGCGACGGGAAGCTGCGCAGACGGTCGCGGAACGCGTCCCCGATGGGGCTGAAGGCGAGCACCACGTGCAGGTTCTGCCGCACGCGTCGCACGAAGCTCGCGTAAGCCAGCAGCGGGGATCGCGCCTCCTGCGCGTTCTCGGCCTGCACCAGCTGCTGCATCTGTGGGGCGGCGCCGGCGGCGGCGGCGGCGGCGGCGGCGGGGCAAAGGGTTAAAAGCGAAAACCGAAATCAATGAATAAATCATTCCCCCTCATTTGGGTCGTTCTCAGCTCTGCTCGCGCGAGACGACACCACTAGCACCGTCACCGTCACCGCCGCCACGGTGCCGCTTTCCCACCCATGCCTGGGCCGTCTGACAGGCACACGCAACATATATTAGCCATGGTGACCGTGATGTGTGTTGCACCCGGTGCGGCATGCGAATTGAGATTGTGAACACGTTGAGTCTGATTTATGTACAAGGAGGTGGTGAGAACACGTTGGGAAACAATGTTTTTTTTTTTCCCCAATGAGAAACAGATGCAGATTGCTAACAAAAATGCGCTACAATTAGGATGCATCAACTACAATATCACTTGGATTTATATTAATTGTAATGCAAGCATAGATAATGCACGTAGCAGGGTCACTCTGAGGGGAGAGGATTCGTTATCTCGAGGAGGATTTAGGTGAAATATTTCAACCCCTACAAAATTGCAGCAAAAAAACGTGAGGATTTACAAAAGTAAATGAAAGGGGCAGCCATGAAATGTGTGGCTCAGGCCGCTGCTCTAAGCAGGGCCTCGATGAGGAGAGGCTCGAGAGAGTCCCTCCACTGGGCGATTTGGCCTCCACTTCCACGCCGCCCGGGATGACTTCAAAGAGACGAGGAGTACGCAAACTTTACCCCATCACGCGTGGCCTAGAGGGGGGATTTAAGAAACTTGTGCTGTTGGTTAAACTGCCGCGCCGGGAGGTCGAACCGGGGACAACTCGTTTGCAAGTACAGGTGAACACCATTACACAACAGCAGCAGCAGCAGCAACTCTCACATTAAAACAAGATAAATCACGAATACACTGAGGTTATTTTATGCACCTGTCGTGCTGCAAAATCTTGTGGAATGTATGACTGTATGTAGACCTTCTTTTGCACCGTACGTAGCAAACCGTGCCAATCGAAGCAGTTCTAAAGAAAATAGTTTTCAATCTCACACCTCCAATTAGTACAGTTGACTACGTACGGTGCCAAAGAAGTTCAACATACATACGTGGATTTAAAAGTGCATAGCTCCAGTGGCTTCCTAAAATCGAAGGAAGAGTGTTCCAGACGGCCACAGAAGCACATCTGAAAGCGCACGATGCAGTGACCGTCTTTGTTCGATGGCCAATAGACGGTCACTACATTTGTAAAAAATAGAAAGATTTGGTGATGCCTCGTTGGTTGTGGTGCACAAGCAAAAATAAATTTGTCAATAACACGCCTTAAATAAATAGATGTTGTGTGTATATATGTAGTGGTCGACTTCACGCGGACAACTTTATTCTTTTATTACAACTTTCCACATTCCGTCTCTAACTTCACAGTTCCTCTGGTTGCCGCAGCTCCCTCGCCGCACTCCGCCCGTCTCGCTCGCTCCGCTTCCTCCCCTGTCTCCCACAGTCTCTCTCCGTCACTCGCTGTCTCTGTCCCCGGCTCCTCCTGTCACTCGCTGTCTCTGTCCCTCTCTCCGTCACTCGCTGTCTCTTTCCCTTTCTCCGTCACTCGCTGTCCCCATCTCCTCCTGTCACTCGCTGTCTCTGTCCCTCTCTCCGTCACTCGCTGGCCCCGTCTCCTCCTGTCACTCGCTGTCTCTGTCCCTCTCTCCGTCACTCGCTGTCTCTGTCCCTCTCTCCGTCACTCGCTGTCCCTGTCTCTTCCTGTCACTCGCTGTCTCTGTCCCTCTCTCCATCACTCGCTGTCTCTGTCCCTCTCTCCGTCACTCGCTGTCCCTGTCACTCGCTGTCTCTGTCCCTCTCTCCGTCACTCGCTGTCTCTGTCCCTCTCTCCGTCACTCGCTGTCTCTGTCTCTCTCTCCGTCACTCGCTGTCTCTGTCCATCTCCCACTCTGCATCTCTGTCTCTCTCTCACTCCATCTATCTCTCCCGGACTCTCTCCGTACCCTCTCCGTAGCTATGTCTCTCTCTGTCCCCCTTGTCTCACTCTGTCTCTGCTTCTCTCTATCACTCCCAGTCGCTCCTTGTCTCTGCTTGTCTCTGCGCCTCTCAGTCACTCCTTGTCTCTGCTTGTCTCTGCTCCACTGCTATCTGTTCTGTCTCCTATGTCTTCTCCCCGTTTCTCTCACACCTGCGTCGTTCCAGTTCCAACCACAACTTCCCTCGTTCTTCCCGTCTCCTGAATATATCCCCGTTCTCATTACCCACCAATTAATTAGTCCGCGTGCCACCGACGCCCCCCCCCCGCACCTGTTACTTGCCCCTCTCTATCCCCAGACATTCCGGCGCCACCTCGTCCTTGACAACAACCCCAGCCAATCACAGCCGTACATCGCTCTCCAGCTTAATTGGCCCGTCATTACCGCACAGTTTCCTGCCGCCACACCTGGCCGGCCCAACATAACCCCACTGTCCATAACTCGCGCGTCTTTACCATTTCCCCCTGTATGCGCGTGTTAATCCACTACATATATATGTACTCAGTACAGTTTGGAGCAATGGCCCCATATAAAGAAGGGGCCTTTGCCTTGAACATCGACGATTATATACGTTTCATTTTAAGGCTGTGTTATTCACACGTGTATTGAAAAGCAAGATACAGATTTCCGGATAAAGTCGAAAACGCTTGAAGCGCCACATTAATACTCATATGACTTCCTGCAGTCACGGAAGCTTTAAATCAAGGCTGCACATTAAATTAAATAATGCCACATAAACTACAGTTGACCACCTAACAGAGTCATTCGTTTAAACTGCAAAGCAGTCTATCCAGTGAGGATCCACTTCGTATCTTATGCAATGTAACACGAAATTTAATTACCATTGCATTATGTCCAAGGAGTCTAAAGAAAGAACGTTAAACTGTACAAATCACCAAGAGTATATTTTAATCCCTTTCTTTTAAGAAACTCTGCCATAAATGCCAAAGACTTAGGTTCCTGGGGTTGCCTTATGAAAGGTCTCTTGAGCTTCAGGAATTTTGCACTCCAAGCTAAAATCATATATTAAATGTTTTTCTCCCCCTAACCAGAGTTTGAATGAATGTTAGGCAATGGCATTTCTATTGACGTGCACTTTGCTCTTCAATTGTGTTCACGCACCACTCAATATCCTGTCCGACAAACGATCACCAAATTGTTGAATGCAAGGGACGGATGATTTAATTTAATTTAGAATAAAGATTTGAGCTCCATCATGGAGGTTCAAATACGATGATCCCCAAGCGCTGTAGTCTTAGAGGGAAAAAAAAAACAGGTAACTTTAGCATTTCCATGCCTTTTACGGGGGGTGGGTGGGGGGGGGGGTTAAACTCATGGGATTTCAGAGATGAATTCCCAAACATCCATGTCGCTCGACATAAAAGGCCCCGAGATGTCACCGTGACACCAGAGCCAAGAACAATTCAAGCGATGCCAGGTTGTTGGCAGAAGCCCTTTATCTATAGTCTGGGGAATCGCCCATTGTTATTCATAGCGCAGTTCACAATCTTCATTTCCATTTGTATGTGTTGTTGCGAATTTGTACTTGAAATTCAAACTGTCCACTGAAATTACTGGGCTACCAGGAAAAAAAAATCAGGACCTTTAATGTTTTACAAACGGAATGTGGAACAAATTTCCATGCTTTGTGGATCTGCATCTTAAGTACTTTGTTGCCAATCACCTGCCCGGCGCTGTTGACACTGGCTGCATCCTCCGGAGGTTTTACTATGATTATTATTACTTGGCTTATTTGATGCTGCCACTTGTCAGTTTCAACCACGATTTCAATTTACAAATTCCTCGTGGATTCTTCGTGGATTTAGCCACGGAAATATGTAACGAGCACAGCAATTGGCAGGACCAGGTGCGCCACACCCGATATGCATCTCCCAGCTGTATTTCAGTTCAAATTTAAATTCAAATGCGACCGTTATTTTGCCATTTTCATACATTTCAGTATCAGTTGTAATATATATTCATTCTATACCCCAATTTTAACTATTTATGGTTTTACATATCGAACAGTCTTACAATTTCAGTTCCTGCATGTTTCGGATAAATTAACCTGAAAAAAATGGACTACTGTGTACATGTTCAATTGATGATTGGGCAGTGCCCATTGAGATATGTCAGCAATCTCCTGCCTGCTGTACTGCCTCATACGGTACCATTCTGTCCTTGAAAATTGTGCTCGAACACAATCTCAGCGTGAGCCCCCCACACCAGCCCAAAAGATTCTTGATTCGTTTCCATTTCGTGTTTTGTCATTTCACATTTAAAGCGGTCAATGTTGTAGTAAAAAATATAAATCTCACTTCTGTCTCGGTTCACGTGAGCTAAATGATGTGCAGCGCGGGAATTAAGTAGCGGGCCGGATGGTGACCGCACTCTGAAGCTTACCTTCTCGATGATGTGTACCCTTTCATCACTTTCAAAGAGGTTGGGAATGTCGCCAGTGTTCAAGATCATGCCGACATCTTCCAAAAACGATTCATCCTGTTAAACAAACACGGCCTTTGACCTTTAATACTGCTGCAACAAAACACCCGTTCAAATGCTGGTTCTGTTCAATCGCACGCTTGAAACAAAACTCGATAAGGGCAAATCGATAGTCTGTATTCCATCTCGCCATGACACGTCCTCTTAGTCATAGACGTGCTAAATGAAGGCAATCTGTCACGGCAACACCGGAGCAGCCGTCGCGACTGCAGTAATTAAGCTTGGCCACAGGGGAAAATAACACATTAACGGAGCCACAGGCAATCCCCACAGCCAATCTCACGCCATAATGACGATCATGCACTCTTGCTGCGCGGGTGTATATCACAGTTTACTTCCCAATAGCTTGTACTGCTGCCAACAGCAGCACAAATCACGAATGTCAAATCGAGGCACGCTAACCGCTATATTTATTAGTTTATTATCTCATTCGCCGAGCATTATGACGGATCTTTATTAAACACTTACGCATCATTAGAATGAGTAAATGTGCACTCACAACAGCCCTTGCGATCTATGCAAACCCATAACACAGGATGTACCAACTACTTTTTTTGACCCGTGTTTGCTCTAACATGAATTATGCTGCTATTTTCATACTTAGAAAAAAACGTATAATCTGGCTTCGGTGAAAGCTGCTGGAAAGCCACCATGAATGCCCTCTCTGCTACAGCTCAGTCAAGGTCAGAAGCAACTCATTGTCCTCTGGAGGAGAGTCTAAGGACGTAAGTAAAATTTACGGGAAATGCAATGTAAAATAATTGCTGACCAGTGTGGTGAAGTATGGTCAAATAACCCTCACCGCGACCCATGCCGGTTGGAGAGGCCCTCGTCCAGCAGTGTGTTTATGAAAAGAGCCATACACGTATAGTGGAACGGAATGCCAAACTTCAGACCAAAAATAAGTGGTGACAGAGGACAACTATTTAAAACGGCTGCAATAGTATACAGTAAAGTGCCACGATTTTCAAAACCCAAGCGCTATCTGTGCATGAGCACAAGCGTGACATTTATCAAGACAATGCATTTACAGATGCCAAGAAGCAAATGCACCCCAATGACTTAACTGTGGTAAGCATATATTAAGTTTGCATTATTAACTTAAAAATAGCAAAATAAAATGGTTACACTCCCATTAACATAATTTGTTTTGGCCTTGCTGAATCCAACAATACAGGAATGCATGCTTTGTTCTAGTGCGTCAGTAAAAACATTGTCAAAGAATGTACATGGAGGAGATGACTGGGGGCGAATTCTGTGCCTGACGATGCACACGAGGCCAATTTTGTTCGGACTCAGAGACTCCACAAAAACCCCACGTAAAAAAAAGATGAGCAGCGTCTGCCCGTTGGGGAGATTCTGGCAATTTGGGGTCTGGCAGTCGTTCAGAAGCAGCTACATTCTGAATATGATTATGGCCTTTACAATCGTATAACAATGGTTATATAAGGCCAGGAAATACCCCATTCGTACAGAGTCACCTTCATAAGGATGACCAGGCTTGGGTACAAGGGAATATGAAATATGGGTTGTGGCCAAAAGAGATATATCCATATATAAATTAGACCTTAAATATCATTGGACAACTCCACAACACGCAATTCAAGATATAAGCACAATACCAATTATACATCTTAAAAGTAAATTAATCATACTTGATTCATGTGTAAAAATTAGTGAGTTTTGTTCAAAAAGTACATGCTTATCTGTGTATTAATTTACGTAATTAAAGTCAATATCAAATACAAGATTGTCCAAATCATCTTCGACGCCCCTCTCGTCTTACTCTACTCGCCTGGCTCTCATGTCAAACCTTCCAGTCAACGCTGGCGCAATGGGACATCGCTATTCCTCCTCAGTTGCCCCTGTTGTATGAAACCATCCTCCCCGCAGGGTCATCCCCACTGCAGACTCCCTCTCCAAAAGTTCAAATCCCGCCTGTGGTCCGTCCACTCTGTCACCACCGACGGCTACCCCCTAGCTTCATATCACCCCCCCCAGTGTCCTGTGCCTCCACCACCAATCAGTAGCTCCCCTACCACCATGCGCCCACAACTCTTGCTTGGCTCCAGAAACGTAGTCACATTTAAACGCTCTATACAACCAACGTGTTTTTTTATTGCATTATAAATTCAGGTGTAAATTATTCATCGACTTTCTTGGCCAGTGGACTTAATTGTTGCTGGATGGTGCAGCAGTCCTCATGAAAATCGCACTTATTTTTCGCTTGGCGACCTGCGTGGATTCCTGTCTGTCTGGGTGCCCCACTCCCGAGTGCGGCGTGCGTGGTGGTGATGTCACCGTGCACATCTGCGCCATGACGTCACCCGCATCCCAAAGCGTTGAGCCGGGTTCGTACGTCGCACTGACGTCACGCTTCCCCCTCCCACCCACACTCCCCCCCCCCCCCCATGTGCATCCTGCACTCATGTGTGGGATGTGCTGTCATGCTATCGTACTCATACTACCATACTATATCAGAACAAAGGAGGGAGGTGAGGGAGGGAGATAGAGAAGGCAGGGACAGACTGAGATGAAAGGGGCGGGGAGAAATTGAAAGGGCACGAAACGCAGAATAGAGAGGAAAATGGAAAGAGGACAGAGAGGGAACGTGACGACCAGTGGGAGAGATGATTAGAGAGAGGCAAGGGAGACTGGGATGGAAAAAAAGCGGTGGGAATAAGGAGAGCGAAGGTTAGAAAGACAGGGAAGTGCTATTAGGGGGGGAGTGGGTGAGGTACACTGGAGGGAGAATTGAAAAACAAAGGTAAAGTGAGAATTCGAGATACATTGCGACATACAGAACAGAGAAGGTAAGGAGAAAGGTGGAGCGATACAGGGTTGTATATAAGATTAAAAATCTTTCTGTCTGGCGCTGGGAAGGACGGACAGACGATCATGTCGAAAGATGTGCGCGCAGGTTACTCGTGGAACATTTGAAACGTTTCCTGATTAATGTTGTTTCACTTTCTTAATAAATTTGTACGGTACATGGTATGTCCCAACAATAAACACACCGCCCAGCATTGTAAGCCATACACGTCCTTATTGTGTGGGCTTTTTGTTGGGCTTTTACAGGCTTAGCCATTATTTTCATTTCCCAGTAAACAGTTTGAAACATTGGCATATGAATATCCACCGATTGAGTCCCTATTGAGCAAGAGACAAACCCTTCAAAACCTGTAGGATGGCAAGCCCGCCAGGACGCACTCATTCATTCCATAATTACGAGGGTGCATTACGCCGGCCTGTTAAACGTTATCTGCTGTTCATCCTTTTGACATTCCCACTGTCTTCTGGGTTCTTGAAAGACGATAAAAAAAAATAACGCTCACAAAAAAAAAAACAACCCAAATGGTAGATCTCAGTACCGTCGCTTCGCGGCCAGCCCTCGACACGACATCACCTTGATCTGGTGGTCGGCGAGCAAGAACACGGTGGGCACGCCCTCCTCTCCCGCCCGCCGCAGCAGCCTCTTGAGATCTTCGCGCCACTCGGCCACCGCGTACGACTTCTGGCCGGAGACCTGCGACAGCTCGAGCTCGGCGAGGAACGCCGCCAGCCTGGTGGCCGACTGCCGCCCGCTCCCGCCAATCCCTGCGGCGGTGGTGCATACGTGGCGAGGAAAAGGACGCAACGCGCTGGCCGTTATACGCAAAGTGCTCGCCACAAAATGAACCGCAATACCCTGCCGGAACTCAGCAACGGTCATAAAACATCACGCGAAACTGCGGTCACCGTCGCAGCAGCGTCTTTTGGCGAGGCATCGAGTAAAGGCGGTCACCGTGCCGCGCACTTTCGGACACGCCTCTGCGGCCGTCTGGACCGCTCTTACTTCCAATATTAGGAAGCCACTTATGCACTTTTAAGTTTAGTTTTCTTTAGAACTGCTTTTTGTGTTTAGTTCGTTGCCCTTCCCCCGCACCTCCGATTAGCACGGTTGGCTACGTACGGTGCAAAATAAGTTCAACATACATAAATACGTAGAGGTGCAAACCTTGAAATTACTTGCTCAAGCCACTAGTTAGAGAACCCCACTGCGGTTAACATAATCAGTGGATGTGCAATGCAGGGTAAATCCTGTTTTTTTTTAAAGCCAAAGGTGGAGCCGTGCAATCGCTTGCTCAGACTGCTGCTGGCAGAAGGGCCTCCACTCAAGGGAGCTCTTGAGGGGTCCATGGGTATTTTGGTGGTACTCACACTTTTCTCCAGCACACATGGCCTGCCAATCAACTTGCCACTCATAACGCTTGGCGGATGTATAAGAGGCGGGGGGGGGGAGGGGTTAAGTAGCTTGCACATTGTTGCAACTGCCGTGCAAAGAGATCAAACTGGGCGACCCCTGGATTGCAATCCCAGTGTGCCATTCACTCGAGAATGGCAGCCTGCCTAAGTAATGAAGCTAAGGTCCCCATTGCAAGTATATAACACAGAAGCAGCCCCAACGCACTGTTTGTAACGGAAGGAGGCTGCATGAACGGAAGTAGATCATGCGCTTTGGACCATTATTTCACAGTCTGCCTTCGTGATTATCTGGAGGGATGGCACTGTCAAAGTGCTCGAGATCACAAATGAAGACGTCTCCCTCTCCACGGTTATCAATATGAGTGCCACTTTGTCAGAAGCCTACAATGGCCGTGCATGGGAAGGATGGTCCCCCGGTAATGAGAGTGCGCATTTGGGGGGGGGGGGCACCGACAGAAATGAGCAATGCCCAAAACTTATACGAACAGGGGCACTTCTTTGTCACGTGCCGACCTCACGTCTGCGCGACGATGATGGTTGACCGGGGCCTTTTTTGGTGTGCCCCCCTACCCCCAGGCTGTGGAAATCACTTCCACTGGGATGCTCGCTCCGCCGACTCCCCACCCCCCACCCACCGCCTCGCTTTTTCAAATCACGCCTTACGATGAAACTTACTTTTAAAGGCTTTTTTCTATTTCTTAAATGCTCTGTGTTTGCGGGTTGTGTGTCATTGGTGTGAGCCTGCACATGTGTCTGTTTTGTACAGGTGTTGCATCGGCCAGTCATCTCAGTCATTCAACCCGTGGCACCTGCTGTGTCTGTCTCATGACCTCCTGCCAGTGGGCATTCAACACTTGGCGTGATCTTACCATGCACCTAGCCTGGCACAAGCACCGTGGTGATGTCACCGCCACTCAGTGGCGAATGGCGGTTGTTGTTGTTGTTGTTTTGTACAGTTCCTTGTGACCCCTTGGTGAAAGGCACTTTTAGAAGTGTACATTTTAAAATTGTAATTATTATTAATATGGTGGGATGTTAAAGTGAAATTTACTGACGGTTATAAAATTAATCTAACGGTGTTCAAGACATCAACTACAGTATAATATCACATATCAGATGCTCACATATCCGCCCTGACCAACTAACTGACCACGGTCTGTGCAGTATCCCTGCACGGCGTAACTGTTAGTTTCTATACATATGTAGTGTAATAGCACCGGCTGGTGGACAGCGGTGGCAACTGTGGTGGACAGGCAGTACACACGCCGGTGAGCGTGTGCACTGCTGTTTGTTGGCAGAGCGGAGGAAATAGGGCAAGGGTCACCGAGGAACCCATCTGGAGGCCCCTGGAACCTGCTAGCGGGTTCGAGAAGGGAGGCACAGTCAGGGCGAAGCCAGTCCGCACTGGGTAGCATAAAAGGAGCCGAGATCGGGAGTTCGAGGCTGCCGGTTCGGGGAGTGGACTCGTCTCGTCGTTGTTGTCGTCTCGTCGCTGCCGTCGCTGCCGTCTTCACTAAATGCTGCGCTGCTAGAAGCTGTTGGCTATCTCGGTCGGCGCCGTCAGTGTTTGATGGTTAGTGTTGTCTACAGGCTAGGCTGAGTAACTGTGGAGAGTGTGAGGATGAGACCGTGGAAGTTGTGGTTAATAAACAAGGTGCCTCCTACAAACCTCGTCTCTGAATCACTGACACTGCACATGTTCACATATCAGACCGGTTCACATATCCGCCTACGTACTGCAGCGTTTTTGTTTATTTGGCAGGCATGCACCTAGGCTACCTGTCTCAAGTTGCCCCTAGCACAGATCTAGAGCTCGAACAGAATGAGGGGAGGGGAAACACACACACATACACTTTGAAGTTACTTCAATGTAGACGTGTGAGTTACAACCACTGGCATTGCAACAGTCACATTGCCAACAGATCCTCTTTAACAGCCCTACATATTCATGCCAAACAGGCTGGCACCGAGACAGCCAGGCGTTAGGGGTGGGATGACCCCCCCCCCCTTCCTCCCCCCTCCCCACCCCAAAAGTCAATTCAATGCCTCGTCGCGATTCAGGCTGGCGATTCAACTCAATGATCGATTATCTATCAACACTGTGATGAACGACGGTGCCCTGTAATGACCGCATGGGTAATGTACAAATCAAAATAAACGAATCAATTGATTGAATCTTACGTGTGCAATTTGACGCATGTATCATGGGTGGTGCAACGTTCCACTGGGTACATAGCTGCTGTTGTTGGGTTGAAATTTTGTTTTTATCGCCCTGAGTGGTAAAATTACTGGATGGTTACTAATTTATGCCGTTTACATTTACCTCATAAACGATCGTCACAGAATTTGAATATTCTTTAAGAAAACAAAACCCCCACAATCGATGATACTTCCTTTGTATCCTGTACAGTAGTTGGTAACCAGACAGCCTCTTTAGAACCTGGTTTAATAATCATCATCATCAGCCATGGTCAATTCACTGCTGGATGAATGTCCTCCCCCCCACCACCCCTAAAATTGGCACCATATCTCATGATCCCGCGATCCACATAGCACCTACACGTGAGCCGATTTCACAGCTCCATCTCCCCAGTGGACATCATCCCGGACATATTTGCGCTCCCATGTTCTAACCACGGGTGTCTTCAGCCCGGAATTAGAATGCTGAAGCTCTCGGTGGTTGTGCAAATGCAATTCCAAACGACATCGCTCAAAGACAAGCATAGTAGCAATGTGGCACCTATCAAATTAAAATATTTGTATGCAAAGTAATTACACACTTTAAAAAAAAATAGCAATACTTTAATGCATGAGCTAATTTAAGAACGATGTTATTTTATAGACCGGAGCGCAGGGTTAATGATTCCAGTTTATGGTGAGACTGTCCAAGAAAGTGTTCCCTTGCAAGACTATAAATTAGTTTTTATCAGACTCATGAATGTGAATGTAGGCAAATGCAATGTTATCCATTAACAATGCATTAACTATGCAAAAATAGAACTGCCTTTGGCTAATGGCCCACAATTGTGGGAGGTTTCATGTCAGCCGCAAGGGCCCGCATTAATCTGGGCCTTCGTTAACAGAAGTCTGCTTTTGGCAGGTCCTGTCTCGCACTCAACTCCCCTCAACTTTCTCCCTCCCCCTGGAATTTTGATTACATTTATCATTAATATCATGGTCATTAAAACATGAAACAAGTAAAAACAGACACATTTGCCAAGCAGCTATGGAAAGGAGTACGATAGCAGAAAGCCGCACAGATAGAATAAATAAACTCAACAATTTTCTTATTTTACCAGGTAAGGCCCACTGAACTATATTGCTATTTTTCAGAAGTGAAAGCAGGCGCTCAAGCCTCAGTGTCTACAACATCACCGCCATACTGGATACCAAGCTGCAGCATGTAACACAATAGGTGACACGTGTCGTGACGGGTAATGCAAATTCCGAACGTGTCCATCCAGTGCTCACCGAGCTGTATTGACTTCCGGTTGCACATTCATTCTTATTTAATATTTTTCCTCCAAATTTTGACCAAAATGTACTGCCAGGAACATATCAATTTACATCATTAAGTCAACGGTAAAATAGGTTTTCGATTTATGCTGTTTCACCTCACGTCCATTTTCCAGGGTCGGACCCCCAACATATATAGAAGACTGCCGGGAAGTACCCGGCGTTGCTCGGGGGAAAAATATATTTTAGCCCCCCCCCCTCAAAAAATAGTATTACCGCCGCGTAGGCATACATACCTACACACCCTACATACAATAGAGTGAGTAGTATCTAGTGACTCTATAGTAGTATCTGACTCTACAGTAGTATCTACTGACTATAGTAGTATCTATTGACTCTATAGTAGTGTCTACTGACTCTATAGTAGTATCTGCTGACTCTATAGTAGTATCTGCTTACTCTATAGCAGTATCTACTGACTGTACAGTAGTATTTACTGAGCCCAGTCGTAGCTACTGACTGTATAGTAGTATCTACTGACCGTAGTAGTATCTACCGACCCTACGGTAGTATCTACTGACGCTATAGTAACATCTATCGACTATAAAGTAGCATATACTGACTCTATAGTAGTAACTACTGACGATAGTAGTATCCACTGACTATAGTAGAAACTACTAACTCTACAGTAGTATCTACTGACTCTATAGTAGTATCTACTGACTGTAGTAGTATTTACTGACCGTAGTAGTATCTACTGACAGTAGTAGTATCTACTAACTATACAGTAATATCTACTATGTAGTAATATCTATTGACCATAGTAGTATCTACTGACTGTATAGTAGTATCTACTGACTGTAGTAGTATCTACTGAATGTATAGTATCTATTGACTCTATAGTCGTATCCACTGACTATAGTAGTAACTACTAACTCTATACTATCTACTGACTCTACAGTAGCATCTACTGACTCTAAAGTAGTATCTAGTGACTGTATAGTAGTATCTACTGACTGTAGCAGTATCTACTGACTGTAGTAGTATCTACTAACTGTATCGTAGTATCTACTGACAGTAGCGATATTTACTAACCGTAGTGGTATCTACTGACTGCAGTAGTATCTACTGACTCAATAATAGTATCTGCCAACTCTATAGTAGTGTAGTGACATTGCGGATGTCACTGTGTGGTGCCAGCCCTAGAGAGGTACGTCGTGTGATGTACTTACATCATGGACATCACGTAAGTAGCGACATCGTGGATGTTACTGGGTAATGCCGGCTCTAGTGAGGCACGGCGTGCGATGTATTGCCATCGCGGACACCCCGTATATGTGCGTGTAGTACCAGCCCCAGAGGGGGCTCGGTGAACGCTGGGTCACAGCGCTCAGTGGCACCATGCGTGGCGTGCAGTGCAGACTCCTACAGGAGGGAGTGTGAGAGTGTCAGCCATGGGATGAGGTTACCCCAGGCCATGACACTTTTGACCCTGGAAGGCACGTGACAAGTAAGATCTACAAAGGGGCCCCAAGTGGGGGCTGGGGGTGATCACGTGCCGGGGCGAAATCCTGCTAGAGGGTTCGGGAAGGTGGTTGTGGCCAAGGACAGAGCCAGCCAGAGCTAACGAGCCTATAAACCGGGTCCCCGAGAGGGACCGGGGTTCTGCGTTGCTGTTGTCATCTGAAGATCTACGTTCTACGTTCTACGTCCAAGAAGAAGTCATCAACACGTGGACATGGATCCAAGCTGGGGTCCGGTCCGTTGTAGCTACTCCCAGTGTAACTAGTGTAGTTGGCCTGGTGGTCCACCACCATAGGTTGTTATGGTGGTGGACCACCACCATAACAACCTATGACTTTACCAAAAGAACCAAGAATATAGTAGTGGTTACCAAAAAGATTTCCAAAATCTTAAACAAACACAAGATCCAGGTTCGTCTCAATACATTACACAAAATCCGTGATTTAATCCCATCTGTAAAATATGTGATTCTTGGCATGCAATACCCTGGTGTCTACAAACTGAGTTGTGGTTGCGGCAGCAGTTACATTGGGGAAACGAAATGACAATGTCTCGGACCGTGTCCGTGAACACAAGGCAGATCTGAAACACAGTAGGACGAATACCTCTGCCGTTTATTGTTTTTCCAAGAGGTACTCTGCAAACCTACCGACTACCTTCACAGATTTGTTCATGAAGCCATTCAGATATATAAACACGCGACACAACTTCAAGCAAGAGGATGGGTACAAACTGAGTAATCATTGGAAGGACGTTATTAACCAGGTAAAGCCTTAACTGACTGTGATGTTTCCATCCTACCTGCATATGTCAACTGTTATTTCGACTCTCTGGGTCTCTATCTCTCTATGCCTCTCTCTTAGATCTCTCATGCTCACATGCCCGTTGCATTGCACTCTCATGTCTTTGGATGGCACTCTCATGCTCACATGTCTTTTGGATTGCACTCTCATACTCACAGGCCATTTGGATTACACCCGTTGGGTTGCACTCCCTCGTCGAGGAGGCCGCTCTGCTTCTTTTCTACAGTTAAATGCTAATTTCTCACATTAACATCATTCTAATCACTCACATTAACATAGCCACTTCCGTGCCCTCTAATTTCTCACATTAACATCATTCTAATATCTCAAATCAACATAGCCACTTCCGTGCCCTCTAATTTCTCACATTAACATCATGCTAATCTCTCACATTAACATAGCCACTTCCGTGCCCTCTAATTTCTCACATTAACATCATGCTAATCTCTCACATTAACACAGCCACTTCCATGCCCTCTAATTTCTCACATTAACATCATTCTAATCTCTCACATTAACATCACTAGCCCCGGCCACTTCTTTATGACCCTTAGGCTACACCCATTTAAAACCTTTTAAAACAGTCAGCCTCAGCAGCAGACCATGCTTTCCCATCTGATGACGGACGCTTGTGTTGCACCCGAAACGTCGTGATTTATTTTATTTTATTCCTACGTGACTTTACCGAAAGAACCAAAGAGTATAGTATCTAGCATATATACAAAGTGCCGTGGTGAGGCCTAGTCCCGTGAAAAGACCCTGGCCTTGCCTAGATTGCCCAGCCAGCCGAGGTGGCACCTTTGCAGGCTGGGGCTGGGCTGCTACCACCACCCCCACCCCCCCACCATCCCACGGCCTGCTCTACAGTAGTATCTACGGACTATAGTATTAGCATGGTAGTAACTGCACACATTGGGGTGGGGGGGGAGGACATCACACTGTGAAGAATTTACCTCAGCGTTGTGTATTTTTTTGCATTTTTAATGCGAATGAGAATTCCCCCCACCGATCGCGTGTGTGCGTTGCTACGGCAACCATCCACCACGGAGCTGGCTTTCTCGCGCATGCACAGATGCGTGCTCTGTGCTTATGAAAGGGAATAAATTGTTAACTTAACTACTTTAAACGTGACAGATGTGAAATACGAATTGCGCTTTTTCGTCTCGGGGCATACGGCGTGGTATCCGTGTACTTTTTTTAATATGTAAACCCCACAGTTTGTTAGTTAAAAACGTCACAAGGTACCCACGCAGACAGACAGTCAGAAAGGCAGGCACGCAGACAAAAATGACTTTACTCTTTGGTTCTATTCGGTAAAGCCACGTAGGTAAAAAAATAAAACAAAAATCACGACGTTTCGGCCACAACACAAGCGGCCTTCATCAGGTGAAGGGACCAGACTGTCTCGAGGACAGCGCTGGAGTGAAACACAGCCAAGCTCAGACCGCGACCTTTAAGCTGTGTGCGAGTAATTAAGGTGCCTTGACTTTATAGGTAAGATTATTATCACTAGCAGGAACCCACAGAACTTGTCTGGTGAAGGGATGGCGAATAATTACGTTTTATCATCACTCCCCTTTCCTAGACCTCAGCAATGCCGCGTGACTTCATAACCCGGGCCCCTCTCCTCGAACACTCCCGCGCCTCTTGACGTCATCACTCCCTGTTGCGCACCTCACCCGCGTCGCGTGACATTGTCAACCCCTCTCCTCACCGCCCCCGTGTCTGGTGACGTCACTTATTTTCGGTGTGTTACAGACGAACAGATGCGTTACCGCACTCCCTCGTTACTCGCGAGGGATACGTTCCGGAGATGCTCGTGAATCGCAAATTTTGCGGATAATGATATTGTCCTACGAAACCCTATCGTTCCAATGAATTACCTTAAATAAATCGTAAACTATTAAGTTTATGATATTGTCTCATCACTTCATCTCATCACGTCCTTGCATTAGTGTATCTCTCATCACTTTGTCTCTCATCACTTTTGTCTCATCACTTTCTCTCTCTCTCTCTCGATACAGTCGCGTAACGTTCCAGGTGTGATTCGCGGATAGCCAAAATCATGGATATCAAGTTCGTGAATAACGAGGGGATTACTGTATTATACAGAGATCATTACATACGTCTCTGGATTGCGTAACGAGTGGACACTTGCCGACGAGGAGGGCGTGACCGTTGGGCATGTTCAGAATGCGGCTGATGCGTGAGACGTGCTCGATGGCGAACTGGAACAGCACCAGGTCCATCGGTGCCTTGCTGGCTGCGTTGTACTCCTGCAGGCACTTCTCCACCACCTACAAAACACATTCAGCGTGAATCGATGATGCCACATATCGAGCAGCGAGGCTGCGTGACCTTTGCAAATCTCAGTCTGCTCTCCAGGGACAGATGCTAACGTGCGTGAGGATATGGCGAGTGTTGTGTTTCTGTAGCATGAAGTTAGACTCGTTTAAAATATATAAATATATATTGGGGAATTATAGATACATTTAGGTTTTGTATCAAATGTTTCCCTAAGTCGATACGTAATGATGAAAAGAGCAACAATGATGTACAAATTATATATTTGTTTTTTTTACAAAAGGGCAGTACCACAAATGAGGAAACCTGGCAGTCAATATTACAACATTGTTGAAATGATATGGGTGTCCAGGTTTTATTTTTTCATGTATATGTGGATTCCCATTAATTGGAGAAGGCATTAGCTTAAGGCTACATCTTTCATAACAGGTCCAATGAAGTCATACCTACCTCATTCTCGAACACATGTCAATGTGCTACATTGAATGCGAACGCCCATATGCCAGCAGTTATTTATAACCTTTCAATTATAAAAAAAAAGTTGTTTTCATTATCCGCACACATGAACGAAAATCACAAAACATTTTACAAACACCAAAGAAAAACGACTTGTTCACGTGGATACACGCAGCAAATCGTTTCGGATAAATTTGGCGAAAGGTGTGCTCGGACTTGTCATTGTAAACTTGTTTTCTTGTCAAGCATAGACACAACGGTGCAGTTAAAAAGTTAACTTAACGCTACATCGATATCATAATTTTCACGATCTAATTTCAACGGCTTGTACTTTCCACTTCTTTTACTTTCTCCCAGTTTTATTCGAATTCTAAATATAAATACAATTCATCGAGCCCTTGAAACACAGTGAAAAGGGAAATGCAACGACTTAGTGTGTATTTGCCATGCAGCCACACACTGTGTAGTTTAAAGAACATTTCCTGATTATACAACATAACTACCGGGAAGGTGAGACCTGATGTTTTCAGGTTAAAAGTAAATTCAAGGTTGATGACACATCCTGTACGTGACGATACCTAATTTGCATTTCAGATGCAGTCCACGTTGCAAATGATAATTTACAGGACGGTGAACATGAATTGCTGGATTAATGCCTCCCCACGTGAGTGACGGTCGCGGGGGGGGTAGGTTGAGCACACTTCACGCTGCTCGTAATTGAGGCTCCATGAAGTGGGATTCTCAGTTATCACTCACCACGTATGGTTAGCCGTAGCCAGGAATCAAATTCAGCTCACCAGGTTAATGGCACAGTGCGCTCAACTACTGCCCCTCTGCTCACCATATTCACTGTCCCCTGTGCGACATTTTTAGATTTTTTATAACTAAATGATTATATCTGATGGATTACATCATCATAACATATACATGCTGTTCTGTAGGTACATTTTATTCCGTGTGTACAGATAAAACCCATGCCCGCCCAGCTTCAACATGGACCATACCAACTGAGCCCTAAGTGCAAGGGGAGCAGCGTACGCAGGCATTGAAAAAAACTAAAACAAAAAATGTGATTTTTTTTGGCACGTTCATTTAATATAACGAAGCAATGTTTTATTCATGGTTATGTATGCTCGCAGGCCTTTAGCACAATGTTACGTGTGTTCCCCTCACACGTACCTTTTAGGGAACCCAGAGCGTGACGGACAGCCACGTGAGAATTATATCGACGAATACATACAGCCTATCCGTCATTAAACTTTGTCCCTGGTTCCTTCCAGAACGCAATCGGGTTTAAAATTTCACTCCCACCACGGCGTTCTGGGTCGTTCAGGCCCATTTCCACCCCTGGCGTGCACACAAGATATGGCAGGGCTGTACCTTGACATTTATCTTATTTCATTGAATGGCTTTTACCTTGGGACTTCACATCCACTGACCATATTTACCTGCGTTGTGGGTGACCCTGCGCTTTTTGGCGTTGATGTGTGAGCCACCGGTGGACTTTATATATCTATGCCACTATGCCATTGGTCCCGTTGAAAGCTGGCATTAGACTTTGACTAGAGGCAGGACTGTCTCATAGCTACAGTGAGGGAAAAAAGTATTTGATCCCCTGCTGATTTTGTACGTTTGCCCATTGACAAAAAAATGATCAGTCTATCATTTTAATGGTAGGTTTATATGAACAGTGAGAGACAGAATAACAACAAAATCCAGAAAAACGCATGTCAAAAATGTTATAAATTGATTTGCATTTTAATGAGGGAAATAAGTATTTGACCCCCTCTCAATCAGAAAGATTTCTGGCTCCCAAGTGTCTTTTATACAGGTAACGAGCTGAGATTAGGAGCACACCTGTCCACAGAAGCAATCAATAAATTAGATTCCAAACTCTCCACCATGTCCAAGACCAAAGAGCTCTCCAAGGATATCAGGGACAAGATTGTCGACCTACACAAGGATGGAATGGGCTACAAGACCATTGCCAAGCAGCTTGGTGAGAAGGTGACAACAGTGGGTGCGATTATTCGCAAATTGAAACACAAAATAACTGTCAATCTCCCTCGGCCTGGGGCTCCATGCAATATCTCACCTTGTGGAGTTGCAATGATCATGAGAACAGTGAGGAATCAGCCCAGAACTACACGGGAGGATCTTGTCAATGATCTCAAGGCAGCTGGGACCATAGTCACCAAAAAAACAATTGGTAACACACTACGCCGTGAAGGCTGAAATCCTGCAGCGCCCGCAAGGTCCCCCTGCTCAAGAAAGCACATATACATGCCCGTCTGAAATTTGCCAATGAACATCTGAATGATTCAGAGGACAACTGGGTGAAAGTGTTGTGGTCAGATGAGACCAAAATGGAGCTCTTTGGCATCAACTCAACTCGCCATGTTTGGAGGAGGAGGAATGCTGCCTATGACCCCAAGAACATCATCCCCACCGTCAAGCATGGAGGTGGAAACATTATGCTTTGGGGGTGTTTTTCTGCTGAGGGGACAGGAAAACTTCACCGCATCAAAGGGACGATGGACGGGGCCATGTACCGTCAAATCTTGGGTGAGAACCTCCTTCCCTCAGCCGGGGCATTGAAAATGGGTCGTGGATGGGTATTCCAGCATGACAATGACCCAAAACACATGGCCAAGGCAACAAAGGAGTGGCTCAAGAAGAAGCACATTAAGGTCCTGGAGTGGCCTAGCCAGTCTCCAGACCTTAATCCCATAGAAAATATGTGGAGGGAGCTGAAGGTTTGAGTTGGCAAACGTCAGCCTCGAAACCTTAATTACTTGGAGAAGATCTGCAAAGAGGAGTGGGACAAAATCCCTCCTGAGATGTGTGCAAACCTGGTGGCCAACTACAAGAAACGTCTGACCTCTGTGATTACCAACAAGGGTTTTGCCACCAACTACTAAGTCATGTTTTGCAGAGGGGTCAAATACTTATATCCCTCATTAAAATGCAAATCAATTTATAACATTTTTGACATGCGTTTTTCTGGATTTTGTTGTTGTTATTCTGTCTCTCACTGTTCAAATAAAGCTACCATTAAAATTATAGACTGATCATTTCTTTGTCAGTGGGCAAACGTACAAAATCAGCAGGGGATCAAATACTTTTTTTCCCTCACTGTAAGCTATCACTGTGGTCGGGCTACGAGTAGTGTTATCCTGTTGCCAATTTGGTGTTGGGTTTGAGCTCATGGTAGTTGCAGTTGCACCACCTGTACACTGCATAACTATGCTACCGTTTAAGATTTGAAGCTTTCGTGACTGCAAGGATCCATACTCTTTGGTTCTATTCGGTAAAGTCACGTAGGTAAAAAATAAAACAACAAAAATCACGACGTTTCGGCCACAACATAAGTGGCCGAAACGTCGTGATTTTTGTTGTTTTATAAGCCACTTTGTTTAGCTATCATTTGTGGCCAGGTTGTTTCTGAAAAGAGAGCTGCATAGCCCAGCGGGCCTTACCTGGTTGGTAAAAAAAATGGTTTAAAAATTGTCTAAGCAAAGCAGTGTATTTAAATGAAACGGACAAGAGTGGCCACACACGTGCCCGAGCGTGCACCTTCTTGAGTCGCTCCACGTCGGCGATCTCGTCGTAGTCGCGCTTGCGGCCGTCTACCGACTTGGCACCCATGAAGTCTCCAAAGAACAGGCCACGCATGTCGCTGTGTCCCAGCTCTCGGCCTCTCATCAGGTTTGCGAAGAGGCTGCTCATCCTCTCCTTGAACTGAGTCTGCACCACGTTCTGCGGGACACACGGCCGACCAGACGCACAAGTTTTGCCGGCTGCGAACGCGGCGCGGCGCAACTCACGCGAGCTCGGGCTCGCGCCACTTGAGCCCTGCGGCAGAGTGAGCCCACGGGCAGGTCGCGCGCCGTGGGGTAAAGTGTGGGTGCTCCCGTCTCTTCAGGAAGTCTGGCCAGCGTGGAAGAGTAGGCCAAGCACTCATACCGAGGTGGGCTGGCGTAGAGCGCACCTCAAGCGGAGGCACTTCTTCTAGCAGTGGCGTGAGCGAGCAATTTGCAGGCGTGCATCTTTACCTAATTCGGCTTAGCTGGGCCTGTGACGGCTAAAATGTACACATTTATCAGGGCTGAGAGCCGAGATGCAGGGAGCGTGAAGAGCACGTCTTGTGCCGTGAGACAGAAGCCTAATCGAGTGACTGGAAAGGCGCTTCGCAGTGTCTGCTTAAGCAGCTGTCTCCCGATGATCGATTGAGCTCTGGGAGGACATTTCTTTACTTTCCACCTTCGTTCTCATGGACATCGGGGAACAACTATATTTTTCTGCAGCACACACACACACAACGTATAAAAAAAAACAGGGATGCGTCCGTGAATTAACAATTAGCTTCACAAAAATATTTTGGTGGGCAAAAAATATATTTTTTTATGCAAACTGTAACACGAGTGCAGTGTGAGACCGTCTGGTTTGAACGAAAGCATAACCACGGTTTTACAATAAATTATATTTTCAGTAATGAAAGCATGAATAAAATGAAACAACCGAAGACACCTTCAGCAAGGGCCGGATGGTGTCAGTACGGATTAACGCAGTGCAGACGAATGGCGCGCACCTTATGTCGTCATTTAATCCAGACATAACTCGCACGCCGCGTGCTGCAAAATCGCGCAAAAGTTGAATATGCTTTCCGCGACCGCAGCTTTAAAAATTTTTGGCCAACTCGTGCAAAGCCACCGGCAAGCGCGCGGCACCTCGGAGCCACCTTCGTTCCCAGCGGTGGCGGCAACGGGGCGCTCGCGCGCACGGCGCGGCACGACCCGGCGGCGCCCGGTTAGCGGCGCCGTGGATTGCTCGGCTCCGTCAAGATCCCCCCCCCCCCCAACCCGCCCCCCCCCAGGAGCTGACAAGGTCTCAAAAATTCAACGCCTCTCCTTTCCTCGGCTCGACAGAAAAAAACCTTTCCTCCTCCCCAAAATCGCAGCAAATTTCTGTTGTTGTCGTTGATGGCTTCGGTCCAAAACACCGTTGACTTCTCCAAAAATGTGGCATTTGCAGTTAGTTTGTTTCTCATGCTCGGCGCCTGGACTTCCTGCAGCAATTGAGACGAGAGTGGGAGGTTATTTCTGGTCTAGGGACAGAGAGAGAATCACACTTTAGAGATGTGCTGTGCAGAGACATATTGACCATCTGGGAGTTGTTTAATGTCAAGAAGCACCTCTTTACCTTCGCGACCGCTAATCCTTAGGAAAGCTGAAGTTGGAAAATGTGCCTTGCGGAGGTATGGAGTGGCGCTGATAACACCATCCTTGCAGTGCGCTCTCTGATAGGAATCTAATGATCGATCAATTACAATCGATTCTCACACTCTGTTGAACGTGTAAAAACAAATCTAGTAACAATAAACCTGTTATTAACTTGGTGGTTTGTGTGTGTGTGGTGGTTTGTGTGTGTGTGGTGGTTTGTGTGTGTGTGGTGGTTTGTGTGTGTGTGTGGTGGTTTGTGTGTGTGTGGTGGTTTGTGTGTGTGGTGGTTTGTGTGTGTGGTAGTTTGTGTGTGTGTGGTGGTTTGTGTGTGGTAGTTTGTGTGTGTGTGGTGGTTTGTGTGTGTGGTGGTTTGTGTGTGTGTGGTGGTTTGTGTGTGTGTGGTGGTTTGTGTGTGTGTGGTGGTTTGTGTGTGTGGTAGTTTGTGTGTGTGGTGGTTTGTGTGTGTGTGTGGTTTGTGTGTGTGGTGGTTTGTGTGTGTGTGGTGGTTTGTGTGTGTGTGGTGGTTTGTGTGTGTGGTGGTTTGTGTGTGTGTGTGGTGGTTTGTGTGTGTGTGTGGTGGTTTGTGTGCGTGTGTCCAAGAGGACGTCCACCCGGGACTAGATGGAGTGATGAGATCAGCTCTTGTGGAGGTGCTGAGTGGTTATTTTGCTTTTGCTTTACATCATGGGATATGTGTGTGTGTGCACGTTGAACTTTTTTCGCACCGTACGTAGCCAACCATGCTAATGGGAGGTGCGGGAGAAGTACAACCAACTAAACACAAGAAGCAGTGCTAAAGAAACGAATGTTCAATCTAGGTGATTTTAAAAGCTCGTAGCTCTAGTAGCTTCCTAATATCGGGAGGAAGACCATTCCAGACGGCCGCAGAAGCGCATATGAAGACGTGTGATGTGTTAAGTGGCCATCCATTTAGTACCTACGCATGGAGGGTGGAGGAGTGGGTTAACCCAAATGCGTACGCTTGCGTATAGGGGGTCTACTGACAATGTGTGTACGCATAGGAAACGGGAGGGGGGGTGAAGCCTCGATAATAATAATGCAGCCGGCGGTGGACTATCTGTTTGCTTAAACACGTGAATATTCTTGACTTAAAGCTTTTGTGACTGCAGGAATTAATATTCTTCGGGTCTTTCGGTGAAGCCACGTAGATAGAAAAAAATAATAATAATAATAACAATATCACGACGTTTCTATCGCAACACAAGCAATTGTCATCAGGTGAAAAATATAGCGAGAGAGCTGCTGAGGCAGGAAAAATATATTTTGATGACGATTGCTTGTGTTGCGATCGAAACGTCGTAGTTTTTTTTTGTTATTCTTTGTTATTTTCTTTGAACCTATCTACGTGGCTTTACCGAAAGACCCAAGAATATTAATTCCTGCAGTCACGAAAGCTTTAAGTCAAGATTCCTGGCTTATTATATATGTAAAAATTCGGGGGAGGGGGGGGGGGGTCCAGCGTACGTCCGCAGGTGGGGTAAGGGGAGGGGAAAAAAGTCCGCGTGCGAACAGGGAGGGGGGAGGGGTCAAGTTTTGACAGATTCACGGGTACCTTATACGCTTTGGTTTTTTCGGTAAAGTCACGTAGGTAAAATAAAATAAATGAAAACAACTAAATTAAATCACGACGTTTCGGAGGCAACACAAGCCTCCGTCTTCAGGTGGAAACCGTCACAGCAAAAATAGCTGTATCAAGTGAAGAGCTCTAAGACACCCGAGATTATATATACAGGTTAAGGGGGGGGGGGGGGGAGGAGCCAGGAAGCGTCGTGGGGGGGGGCTAAGTTAAGCCGCCTTTTGTTATGCTGCAGGGGGTTAGGGGGACGGAGAGGCGATGGCGAGCGGTTGTCGAAAATGAGAGAAACCAACTGGAGGAAATGGCTGGTTGATGACATCTTTCCAATGATTTCTTAATTTAAAACCATCCTCTCGGTTGCAGTTGTGTCTATGTTTGTATATCTGGATGGCTTCATGGACAAATCTTTGGTAGTATCCGGGAGGTTTGCAGAGAACTTTGGTATCAGAGAAAACAATATCATGAGAACCCGCTGTGTTGAGACAATGATCAGCCACGGCCGAATAATTCGTTCTGCTGTGTTTCAAATCTGATTTGGGCTCGCGGATTCGGTCAGAGACATGTCGTTTCATCTCCCCGATATAGCAGTCACCGCAGGTACAACTCAATTTGTAAACACCGGGGTACTGTAAGTCAGGAATGACATCCTTTATGGATGGGATCAGATCACGGATTTTGTGTACTGTATTGAACCGGACCTGGATCTTGTGTTTGTTTAGAATTTTGGAAATCTTTTTGGTAATGCCTGCTATGTATGGCAACGTGATTATTTTGATCAGAGTATCAGGTGTTTTTTTTCTGTATGGTGAGAGAAACAGCTTGACGGATAGTACGGTCAAAGTATCCGTTCATCTTGAGGGCCAGATGTACATGTTTTAATTCACTGGCCAGGTGGTGTTGGTAAGAAATGCTATGATGAGGGAATTATTTTGAGCCGGGTGGTGGTGGGAATTAGGCTTCAAGTAGGAATCTGTGTGGGTGGCCTTCCTGTAAACAGAATGTCCCAAAGAGCCATCAGGGACTGGTAGTTCTAGTTCTTTCAGAGCTCTTTCAGAGCTCTTTTAGAGCTAGAACTTCCAGAATTTTCCAATGTTAGCATCGCTGCCACCTCCCCTACCCCCTCACCCTCTGACAGCTGACAGCTCCCAGTGCATTTGAAAATTAGCCTCACTGTGCTAGCTCCCATTTATTTTGTGTCATTGCAGTTACTCCAAAGGCCCTTGACCCATTTTCGCTTCACCCGATGCAAATTTGCAGGGGCAGTCCTCGACTTACGAACGGATTGCGTCCTTTGAGATCTTTTCGTAAGTTGAACGGTTCGTAGGTTGAGACGCAACAATGTACTGTATTTAAATGCTGTTTTGTAAAATGTGTTACAGTTCAACAAAAAAAGGGGAAGCATTGTTAAACGCCTACTGTCATAAATACAGTACAGTAAATAAAACATAAAATAAAGTAACATCAATAGAAAGTTAAGTTTTATATTTACTTACCGTGAGTCCGGTTGGAAGGGGCGTTAATGAGTCAATCGCACACAGACACACACACAGGGAGGCACACGCACGGACGCTCACACAAACACGCAACAGCGACCCCCCCGTGCAGCCTGTACAGGCTGTCGGGGCAAGTGCTGTTAGCGAGCAGCGCCTTTGAAGGGTGGCACGACACGCGAGGGGATGGGTGGCCAGCACCACGCCCGGCCGCCTTTGTCTCCCCCGTGGCGATGTTTACTCCACACTATCAGATGGTTGCGAGTTCAAATCCTGGTTGGGGATTGACTGAGCCTATCATCGCTCCAGGGATGATAAAATTAGTACTATGTAGAGAAGTCAACAGTGGCCGTCCTATAGATAGACAGCCCAGCTAAAGGAACATGGAATTTCCACCAATGGCTCAGGGCTGTAAACAGTTTATGAACAACTCCTCAATGCTCATTTGAG